AGAATAACTTTTTAGTGATCACATTCTTTGTTTCAGAGCCAAGGTGTGTAAGCTAGGAGATTTAACAGTTTGCTCTTTCCAACCCCAATTAGCTGTGATATGAACTTTAGAGATGCTGCTGTCTTCATGGATTATCTTGGGCCCCTTGGGAATGACGCATATTTTAAATGAGAACACGGATTGCTAGAGGATGTTTAATACTCACGATAGTATTGCCAAGATAAGCAGGTCTGTACTGAACTGTAGGATCTTGGGCTTGAAACTTCTCGCTAATTCAATGCAGACTGAAAGCCGCCAGATATAGACCACAAGTTGGTGGTTTTAAAGCAGAGAGGACTTGGCCTTTGAGATCTCCTGATGATGTCTGGGTCTGATCTCTTGTAAGGGTTTTCTCCTGTGGAATTTGAGTTATCTCACTCATGCTAGAGGGTGAATGCATTGGTGTTACCTGAATTCCTGTTGGCCCTGCTAAGAGTTAATTTGCAACTTACTGGAGTTTGGGCAGTAAAAAAAGTCAAAGCCTGTGATATAAGGAAACAAGAAACGTGAGGCTGTGCAAAACACCAGATAGCCGTGGTATTCGGGATCTTCTCAGGAGAATTCTTGTCTATTAAGCAATGTCTCTTTGCTACAGAAGAAAGAAAGGTTGTATCCATGGTGGAAAGGCTTTCATCAACTCTGCAGAGTATCAGTGTTTCTCTCACCATTGTGTATCGCTGGGTGGAGCAGAATTTGCTTGGTTACTAGAGTGCAGAGAAGACCATATCTAATTCCTAAACAGGGGGATCCACCTGCCACTAAATTATATAACTATGGAGTAGGATGTCCCAAGCACAGGAATCCCTGTCAAGGTGGTTATTCTGGTAGTCCTGCCCTCTGTGGCACCATAGCACAAAAGGCTAGGGGAGTGAAGAGCTGATTGGAGGTGTAATGTGTATGCATAATGAAAGCATTGACTGGATATAACCTGAACTGTCTCTCAATATCCTAGCCTCTGTCTCAGCAGAGCTAGGCATGCCTAGCTGTGAGATAAAATAGGAAAAAAAAAAAAAACCAAACTGCAAAACATGGAGTGGAGGCTACTGAGCTGGGTCCCACACACAGACATTACAGTTGAAGGATACTGGTAACTGTACACTGTGGGAGTTGATGAATCTTGGTGCTGCCATTATAAAAGGCTTTTCCCACCCCATTCTGTTACTTAGCAAGATGGAAGTCAAAAACATCCTGCTAAAGGGATGGAAGTGTTTCAGTTTTGAAGAGATATTTCCACTTTAATTTGTATATCCTATATACAAATTAATTACTTGTATTTGGATGTTGGTTGACACCTCGTGGGTGTTGGTGGATGAAAAGCTCAACATGACTCAGCAATGTGCACTCACAACCTAGAAAGACAACTGTGAGCTGGGCTGCATCAAAAGAACTGTGGCCAGCAGTTTGAGGGAGGGGATTCTTCTCTGCTCTTGCTGAGTGCTGGAGTACTCATCCAGCTCTGGATAAGCGGAACATAGGAAGGACATGGACCTTTTGGAGCAAGGCCAGAGGAGGGTTGTGAAGATAATCAGAGGTCCGGAACAGCTCTTTTGTGAAGACAGACTTGAGAGAATTGTGGCTGTTCAGCCTGGAGAAGAGGAGACTCATGGGAGATACTGTGAAGAAATTCTTTACTGTGAAGGTGGTGAGCACTTGAACAGGTTTCCCAGAAAAGTTGTGAATGCTCCATCCTTGGCTAGAAATGTTCATGGCCACACTGGGGCCATGGTGGGGCCCCATTGGTGGGGCTCTGAGCAACCTGGTCAAATGCAAAGCATTCCTGCCTATGGCAAGGGTGTTGGAACTAGATGATTTTTAAGAGTCCATTCCAACACAAATCATTCTATGACTCTATGATATGAATGCTTTAAACTTCTTCCTTAAAAAAGTGTTAAGTTAAATCAGTATCAGAAGTGGCATAGGGTTTTATTCCTTATGTCCCATATTTCCATTTCCCTCAACACTACAGCACTTCCTAATGTTTCTGTTTCCCTTTACAAGTCTGTGTGACTTGTGGAGAACAAGCACCTCTGAAATATTGGAGGAGAAAGGAGTGTGTTTGTGACTGTAGCTGGTATTTGCACAAAAAGGAAATAGAGACAGATGGCTGGAAAGACAGTGCTGCTTGTGAGAGCATGAGTCCCACAGGCAAGGAGATGCTCAGGTTTTTTAATCTTAAACTTTGTAGCTTTGGCATAAGGCCATGTTTTGTGGAAATCTGTCTGGATTCAGTTCACAAAATGCAGTGGTTACGATCTAAGAGCACAGTTGCCTCAATATCTGCAAAGTCAGCCTTACACTGCCAGGGCTGTGCTGTGTGCTCTATGTGCCAAGAGCAGTGGAGGGATTGCCTCCAATTGCCATTCAGGTGGAAGCCTTTGGAGTGGGGATGGTTAGACAGGGAGCCAGTCTAATTGAGATGGATGGGAGGGGCTCAGGCTGGAAAGAAAAGCTCTCCAGTGAGGAGAGCAAAGTGAGATGCAAAAGCTCGCTCTTTCAAGCATGAGATGTGGCTACTGAGGAGGGTCAGAGGCATGTTGCCATAGTGGGCTGTTCTGTTTAGCCAAGAGTCTTGCCCTCAAGGGTAATAACTGACTGCCTATGAGGTATGTTGCCATTCCCTAGGACTGGGAAATGCTGTGAGATTGGTATGGGAGTGCTCCATGGAAATCTGCAGTGTATTGACAAAACTGAGGCAGAACAGTTCACTGGTTTTAGGTTTTTATCTGAATCTCTTTTTCTACTAAACCCTCAGAGCTGATGGACAGTGTATACAGTCTAGATGGTGAGAAGTCAAGGCCCCAGTGGAGCCAGTTGAGTTCTAGTGGGTGTTAATGTGCTTATTGCAACTCATAGTTTGCAAAGGAGTTATCTCGACCAGCCTGGGTTTTCAGACTCCTATCAGCTGCCCTACAGCCTTGACATCAGGAAATTGAGCAGTCAGGTGGGGAAAAATTTGGACTGTGCATTGCAAGAGCAGAACTCACCCCAGTAAAGTAGGAGCAGCAGCAGGAGAGGTACTGGCTCTCTCCATAGCACATGACTCTGAAGCAGAAGACTTGATCTTGGTCACCTGTCCTGTATGTTTTGGTAACACTAAGCTGCTGCTTGTGACTACCTGCAGCTGTGATGCTGGCTGAATCTCCTCTATTTTAACATTTTCTTTCCTATATGCTACCTCTTTGAATGGGCAAAAAATTTGCCCCCTCCCACTAGCCAAAACCAAGATTTTCTTCCTTGTCTCTTGCTGAATAAACCCTTGGTGCCTGCAGATCTCTTATCTCCTTTTTCTGTAGTGCTATCTTCTTGTTGTCTTGTGGGTTTTTTTTCTTTGTTGTTTTTTTATTTTTTTTTTTTGTTCTTTTTTTTGGCGGGGGGCATGGGGTTGGGGTGCTTTTTTTGGTTTTTTGTTTGTTTATTTGTTTGTTTTTCTCTGTTTGTTTTTCTTGACATTTCTTGCTTGTGGGTTTACTTGGTTTTCTCCCCATCAGAGCAGAGGATATAACACCATCCTTCTTCTCACCACTTCACTGCCTTTTGCTGTCTTGGATTTGTGCACCAGACTCTTACCTTTATTGCTTATCTGCCCATTCAACTAATTTCCTGAGATGGAGCCTCTGCTGTTAACCTGCTCTGCTTTCACTATGATTTCTTCTTTTCCACCTTGTAGTCACAAAACCTGCAAACACTTATTCTCTCTGCCTTCTTTTCTTCCTCTTCCTGACTGCATCTTCTCAGATTTTTCTCAGAGATGGCTGTGCCATACGTCTGAAAAGTGGAAAACTGTTAAGCATGTCTGGTTCACAGCAATACAAGCATGGATCAGGGGTGTAAGTCGCCAGTCAGTTCTCCTCCTGAGGGCTGGCTGCTGCCATTAGTCTGTCCAGGATATCTGAGAGATTATCTCAGGTGTTTTTCTGACAGCATGTACTAATGCAGACCATGGTGCAGAGACTCAGTATGTGGCGTGGCAATTACCACATGGTGTGCTGTGGAATTATTTGGGATCTCTAATAATTGTGCATCAGGTTTTGCATCACCCTACAATAAAGCTACTGAGGGCGTGCACAAAAATGCAGTTTTCCTAATGTTCTGTTGCTTAATGCTGCACTGGAGGACATAAGTGGAGGAAAATCTCTTTGTGCCTCTGTCCATGTGTGAGTCAAGTTCTCAATCATTTTACTGGTCTCCTTGTGGCTTTCAGAGAGTGTGGCTTTCATGGCACACTGGATCTTGTTGCCATGTCACATTTACACACAAGTACCTCTTTCTCTATAAGTGTCTGGGAAGAGACAGGATGTGGTCGTGTTCAGTATACGTGTGGCTTTGGAGCCCCAAACCCTCAATAAACCAAACCTAAATAAAGGAACCAATAAATGTTACGACTCATACCAACTAAATATAACCAAATACAATAACTACCTAAGTGCATCTCTGGTTGCCTGGAATATCCTTGGGGCAAAGGTTATTTTGTCAGTCGTGAATTATTAAATTTATGTTCAGTTTAAGTGCCTGTGTGGGCAGTCAGCTGCATCTGAAATCTATGTAATATTTCTTGAAGTAAAATTGTCTCTACTAGCAGTTCCTGCACTTTTTCTTTGGGTGTATGTGAGGCAACCGAGGCAAGTTAGAACACAGGAAATTCTGACTAAATATAAAGGAAAAGCTTTTGCCATGAGGATGGGCATTGACTGGACCAGAGATCTTGGGAGGCTGAGTTATCTTTCTCCTTGGAGATGCTAAAATCTTGACTGGACAAGGTCTGGAGCAACCTACTTTAATGGGACTTAGTTTAAACTGTCAGGCCCTTGGAGTCCAGAGGTCCTTCCCAACCTGCCTCACTCATTCTGTGGAGTTTTTCAGCTGAGCTAAGCTGTGCCAGATATGCTTCTGGATGAACTATTGTCTTTGTACTAGAGTTGAATTTCTCCATGTTGTTTTCTTCAATACAGGCAGTGACCCAGATGGACAGAGCAATAAGGCGCTTAGAGCCATGGAAGATCGCAGTCATTGTTGTGGCAGTGATAGTAGGCTTAGCCCTCATCATTGGCTTGATTACGTTTCTTTTGTGCCACGGTAAGTGCCCTGCTATTTTGTTGCGACAAGCTTTCAAGAATCTGTTGTGTTTCACTTGCTACTGTGGTCCTGCCTGATGATTTAGGCATGCAATTTGCCCCTGGTATAAAACTCACATGAGAACTTTGTAAATGCTATTTGAGAACTAGATTGATCTGAAGACCTGTAAGAATATTTGAAGTACTTTATTTGAAGCAGGGATTTCAGTTTTAACCCTCCTTTTGTTTCTTGCCCTGGTGTTTCCACTGGTATCCAGTGTCTCCACTGACTGACAAAAGGAGAACAGTCTTCTGTATAAGCCAGAGGATGCATAGTAAGCTTAGTCTTGAATGGGGTTTTTGCAGAAACTCAACCTGGCTCCTTTAACTGAGAATATTCCAGAAAGAGAGAGGGCAGAGCTTTAGGTTTTCAGAGGTCAGGACTCAGTTCTGGTTGCCAAGAGCCCAGTTTCAGTAGCAGGTCATAGAACTATTAAAGTTGGAAAAGATCTTTAACATCACCAAGTCCAGCCATCTTGGCTCATGACTTGAAGACAATTAATTACATTCCCAGTCACTTGCCTCATGAATGAAGTTGAGTAACTTCATTCCCAGTCTTTGAGATAGCAGTGTGAGTTTTTTGAAATGCTTTCCTGCTGGAATGGAATTAATCATGTGGCCATCTCAGCTCACCAAGAGTCAATGAGGCTGTGGCTTGCACTAGGACACCAGAAGGAGCAGTGGCAGAACTGCAGCTCAGCATTGCTTTTTGCCAGCTCTGTGTTACAGGGCCCCTCTCTTCCACACACCCAAGAATCAGATTTTAAAATTAACACTGAACAGATGCAAACAGCTCTTCCCCACATGCTTCTCTGAGGGGCAGGAATGTGCCAGAGTATAGCTGGGGAGGAGGGGATGTGGCTGAGTTGGAAGGGCTCCTTTGTCTTGTGCTACGCTCACCTTAGGACATCGAGAAGATGGACCCTAGGGAAATGTAGTGGGTGTAATTTGGAGCTCCTTGAGATGGTTGTCAAAGAAAAAATGAGCCCCTAGATGGTCCATGGAGCAACAGGATGGTCCCCCTTTTACCAAAGTACTGCTAAAGCTGTAATTTCCCTGTTGACAGGATCATTGCCAGGGCCAGGGAGCCTTGCTTGTGCCATGTTCTGTGAGATATTGTGCATCTTTGAATTGCACTAAAGATGATCAGCTACATTTCCTTCTTTTTCTCCTCTGTAGATCAAGACAGATATTACAATGCATCTTTCCTAATCACCAATGTCAAGTATAATCCTCAGTATGAAAGGCAAACTACAGATGAATTCAGGAACCTAAGTGAAGATATTGAAACCGTGGTAAACTAAAAGCTTCTCTGCTTACACCTGACCTATGCTGAAGAGTTCTGCAAATGTGTAATTGAAAATAGTCAGAGGTGATTGTGCCTCATCCCTACATGGCTGGCCTTACCTTACACACTTTGCTGTTGTGGGTTAAAGATGCATAGCTGACTGTGCACATGCAGATGGTAAGCACAGGTGCTGTCTGCTCCACAGCCCTGTGTGGAACTGGCAAGCACAGACCAGAATGGATAGTGAAATCAGCCAACTCAGCTGTTTATTTTGGATCTGCAGTCCCTGATGGAAATTTAGTGGCAGCTTTGGTGTAGAGGTGAAGATATGACGGCATTTTCATGTGTTTCAGAGGCTATGAGACTGTTATATTGTCAAAGCATGTGCTTACTGCAGGTGTATTTTAACACACTCTTTTCTTTTAACAGATATCTGAAGTATTCAGGGGGTCCTTTCTAAGTAAAAGATACATCAAGTCCCACGTGGTCAGTCTAAGGTAAGTAATGTGAAGGCCAGGAATAAGCAGGGATGTGCTAAATACCTTTTCTTCCTACTTCATGACGATACAGAGCATTCCTGGTTGCTTGGGTTACTCCAGGAGGTTGACTAAGACTAACCTTGTCTGGTTTTTGCTGTCCTCTAGTGCTCACAACACTGAGGATTCAGTTACCCTTAGAGGTCAGCAAGGAAGAGAGGTTTGGCCCTATACTTCTGCAGATTGATTACCCTTTCCCTAACTGTTCACAGAAAATTCCCTCTGATCACTGTCATAGCAAGAAGCTTTTGCTCCCTGCTGACATGTCATCATCTTTGTTTACTTGAGCACAGCCATGCCATTTGTTCTGGACATCTGTGCAGACCAGACCTGTTCTCATATAAAGAAGGCAGGCAGTAAAAAGCAGAACCAGGAGCATTAGTAGGCAAAGAGAACGACACCATTTGTTTTTGTTGGTTTGTAGCCCAGATCCTGTTGGAGTGCTTGCATCTGTTGTTCTGGTATTTAAATTTCCCTCTGCTGACAGTGAAGCAACGACCTGGGGTCAAGTCAACCGTGTGTTACTCAGAAGGCTGAAAGCAACCTCGATGGACCTGAATGTTGACCAGTCTACCATTAGACTCACAGGCAAGTGCCTTACGTTTGTGTTTTCAGCTTGGAATTTGGAATTTGTTCCTCACACTTTGCTGTTCTCAGCTTCATGAGTTTCACCTTAGTATTGTAAATGCAGGTGAACCCGTTGGGAAGAAATGATGATGTCTGACTCCAGTTCAGAAGGCTGAATGATTTATTTATTATAACTATACTATAATACATTAATATACTATTTAAAGGATATACTAAAATTACATACCTACTTTTTCTAACTACCATATCTAACTAACTCAAGACTCGTGACCCTCTTGCGAGAGTCCAGATACAGGTGGATTGGATTGGCCATCAGGCTCAAACAATCCTCACCAGAATCCAATCAAGCAATCCTCCAGGCAGACAATTCTCCAAACACATTCCACATGAGAAAAAAAAGGAGCAGAAATAGAAATTGTTTTCTCTTTCTTTCCTCTGTGCTTCTCTATGAAAAATCCTGAGTGAGAGAAGAATGTGCCTGCCACACCTTAGTATGGAAATATGGGCTATTCTTGTTTTCTTTTTTTGCCTTCTCAAAATTGTCTGTTAGGCTGACAGCCTGGGAAGTTGGAAGACAGTGCATGGAAAGAATTAAGACAGTGTGAGCTCTTCTCCATGCATCAGAGGCTTTCCCAGTGTGACCTAGTTGTGTTGAATGAGATAGTCCCCCTCAATTCATAAAAAAAAGGACCAACTTTGTGATCTGGTGTTCACAAACAACTTTAAGACATACAGTAAATTGAATAAGAACCTTTATAACCAGGCACTGAAATGCAGAGCTCTCAAGTTATTAAAAAAAGCAGAGCTGAGGTGGTTTCCTTTTCTATCTTCTGCCATTTCCTTTGTCATTTGACAGATTTCTGCAGCAAGTGTCTATCAGGATCCTGAGGATCACTGGGCAGTAATTCTCTCTCATGAATCAGTTGTGGATTTCTATCTGATGCTGACAGAGGGGTTTTTGTAGGAAAGAAATTAGAAATGTTGCAGTTTACCTTCAGACAATCCCAGCCCTGAGGACTTGTGAAGACTTATCTGACCACCTTGCCACACTAAACATGAACAAAGGCCTGTAGGCATTTGCTGGTGGCTGTGCACATTGTACATGTAGTTATAACTTGGACCTACTTGCAGTCATCTGCTGCTTTTGTTAGTTCTCAGCTAAGGCAAGAAAAGTGCATCCTGTGGCTTAGGATCCTGAGGAACAGAGGCTTAGATGAACTTCTCCAACAAAGCAAATTACTACTTCTTGTACTGTCACTCCAGGCAGCAATGCAAGCCACTTAATTTGTGTTTTCTGGGTACAGAGAGGGAGTCTGGGCTGGATCACATAGCATATGAGATAAACTTACTGTGGTCTTTGCTTCTCATTCCAGAGTTGAACAAGGAAAAGGGAGATAACCTTTTGAACAACTGTAAGTATAAATGCTTTATAATAAAGGTCCAGGGAAATAGTGCTGGAGGTTCTGTACTTAGAAAATCCTTATACTTTCATGATACAAGTTGAAAATAGAATTTGTTGCAGATATTAGAACAGTAGACAGTGCATGAGCCAGGGGAGACTTCAGCTCATTTTCTTGCAGTCTTGCTGACTTGCTACACTTGTAGAATCAAGCATTATGGCTTGGTGGTGGGAAGCACTTGCTTTAATGTTGGTTGTTGGAAGTAGGGGCATGTAGTGAGTTGCTGTTAGCAAGTTTGCAGGAGGACTGCAGTTTTGCTGTGGGCCATGATTCTTGCTGGAATCCTTCAAAAACCATTTTCCCTCTGCCCCCCTCCTCCCTGTAGAAAGGTTTGGCAATAGATGTCTGTCAGATTTGACCTAAACTTTAAGGAAAAGCCAGAGGGTGGGAGAGGGAGAAGAGGTGTCCACGCTTAGGGCAAGGCAGTGGCATGGCCCTGGAGAGTGGCAAGTTCTCAGTCCTCCTGTTGTGCTCCCCCTTGAGGTCTTAGAGCTCCTCTGGAAGCTGGGAGACAGCATTAAGTACCTTCCCAGAGCACTCCCTCAGTACACTGCATGCTCTTGAAGACTTTGCACGTTAGCTTTCCATCTTCAAATGGCCTCTGAGAATTAACTGGTTTGAATCTAACTTTGTTCAGCTGGGTAATACCTGATTGTTGGCACAGTGGCTGTAAGTAAATTGCTGGGAAGAGGACACTATTTTTTTGTTGTTGCTGCCAAGGCTTATCTGAAGGTGACCTGACAAAATCCCTTTTCTTTCAGTGTCCAGATACACAGCCTTCACGTCCCATGGGAATTCATATGGGCTTGTGTATCTGAAAACTGGCTTAATGAAAAAATAATGACTCCTCTACCAAAATTCTTTGCTTACCCTGCATGCATCCTGAGACGCTTGTGACCGTGGCACTTGGCTTCCCTACTTTAGGTGAAGGCTGTCTCTTGATGGAGACTCCTGCCTTGTTACACCTGTGCCTGCAGCCATGAGGGCCTTCAATCAGCTAAAGCAGAGCTGCCTTTTCTCTGACAGGCTGTGGAATACGAAGACAGGCATTCTCCTTCACAGGAGTGGAAAGAATAACTGATGGGCAGCGTGCACGGGACGGAGAATGGCCGTGGCAGGCGAGCATTCAGCTCGATGGGACCCATCGCTGTGGGGCATCAATCATCAGTAACACCTGGCTGGTGACTGCAGCCCATTGCTTCAGAGGGTAGGTCATCAGCACCTCTCTGATCCTACAGGCCTTAGGATTCTTGGTTGCTCTGACTTTTTGTGACCCTCTAATATCTGTATCTGCTGAAAGATAATGAAATTTTACTCTTCCCCTTTGGCAAGCCTGGTCACACTGCTTTTTGATGCTTAAATAGAGACATAAGCTCCCTTAGGTATGTTGTTTTGTGTGGCTCTGGCATAACCTCAAACATCTTACAGAGTAAGAGATCCTCGGAGGTGGACTGCCAGCTTTGGAATTCTGCTGAGACCTCCAAAACAGAAAAAATTTGTCCGGAGAATTATTGTTCACGAGGGATACGGTGACGTTCTCCTTGATCATGAATATGATGTGGCTGTTGTGGAACTCGCCTCTCCTATTGAGTTCACAAGTGATGTGCACAGTGTCTGCCTTCCCGAAGCATCTCACGTTTTCCGAGACAACACTTCCTGTTTTGTCACTGGCTGGGGAGCTTTGGAGAATGATGGTGTGTGTCTCTTGCCTCCCTGTGCCCTGTCACATGTGTGCCTGAGAAGACTGATGTTAGTTTTATGGGGTTTTTTGTTTATTTTGAGTTCCTTAGACTTGATGCTTAATAGGCACATGTCCCAGTGAGATACCTTTGGACTTAGTTGGCTGCTTTTTTTTCTGGTCTGGTGAGTGGATTGGAAATGGGGGGAAGGTCCTGAAGGTTAGTCTTACAGGATTTAAGAGCAGTTTTTCTTAGTTGCTGTACACACAGCACTGATTGAATACATTTGGTTCTCCAGTCCCTCTGGGTTTAGTTGTGACATGAGTTCTTTTGCTATTCAGATTTTTTGTAGATGCACCATGACAATTTTCATCAGTTTTTCTCACTTTGGTCATAAGTGAGGTCTCATCCAGTGACTTGAGCGAGCTTCTTTCAAATTAGTCTGTGTCATTGAGGTTAGAGAGGATGGGACTATAAATCTGCTTGTGAGAGCTACTGACTTGTATAGGTTGTGTTTCATGGGAGACCCTTGGGATGTGTAGTGATTGCCCAAAGCTATGCTGCAGTTAACCAAATGGGTCTTTTCAATGATAGCAAGGACATACCATGTAGCCTACAGCTGAATGCAGCGCTGAAATATGTACAAAAATCCATTTGTCCATTATGCTAAAGAGCATCTGGTGATGATGAATGATCAATAGGAGTTATGTTTGGGAACAAGTGAAGTACTTTGGCAGTGGGGAGGATTGACTTTCTTAATCCCGAGACATTTTCTGGTTAGTGCCCTAAATTGCCTGTGATGGTAGAAAAGTGGCAGGAAAATTTGGCTACTCCTAATCATTGAGTTTTTTATGTTGCTTACCCTGTCTGCAAATTCTAATGCCACTTTTCCTTCTAGGCTATAGTGTTAATCAGCTTCGACAAGCAGAAGTGAGAATTATAAATACTGAGGTTTGTAATAGAAAACAAGTGTACGGTGGAGCTATAACAGCTGGAATGTTATGTGCTGGATACTTGGAGGGGCAGGTGGATGCCTGCCAGGTAAGTCTCCTTATTGGTAGTAGTGAAAAGGAAATAGGTGGGGTGGAAGGTGATGTTTTCTAGAAATAAAATGTACTTTGGGCAATCTTCTGAGTTTCAAGAACTTGATAGATACAAATGAAGAGCTTCAAGGCTCACGTGCTGGAGTCTGCACTTCAGTTTGCACAAAGTTTATATACAATGCACAAGTGAGAGAATGCAGATGTGAGTGTGTGAATTAGACATAGGCTGTGAACCTCTGTCTTGTGTGAAACTTGAATTGTAACTGAGGTCTACAGAAAAATACCTGCCAATTGCAACAGAAGAATTTGAGTTCATGGCCATTTACTTTTTTTCTGTCTGTTGACATTTTTCTCCTTAGGGTGACTCCGGTGGGCCGCTGGTGCAAGCAAATTCCAGAGGAATCTGGTATCTTGTGGGAATAGTGAGCTGGGGAGATGAATGTGGCAAGCCAAATAAACCAGGAGTATACACACGAGTGACTTACTATCGAAATTGGATCCGCTCCAAAACGGGCATCTGAAACCTGGAGCAGGTTAAGTTTTGTGGGTTGTGTACAGCTATTCCTCTGACACATCCTGCTCTGTGGTCATCCTCTAAGCAGCTGCTGGCTTAGCTTGTGGTCATGTATAAAGTACCTGTAAGCTTGGAGCAGTCTAGGACTTAAAATTGGTTTGGCCTACAGACAGACAGGAACGGAAGGAACGGACTTGATCCATGTGACATTTGTTTGTTCAGGAAGTAGTCTGTCAGAGGGACAACTGCCTTCCTCTGTATGCAATATATTGACCCTTTTTTCTTCATGGCCACATGCCTTGGCTCCAGCTTTTATACCCAAGCAAAGTGTTTGCGCCCAAACAATCATCTACCAGTATCCAAGACAAGCTACATCTGAAACCTGGCCCATCCATTTGCTGTGTGCTCACAAGGCCCTATCTATCCATAGAAAAGTGACATCCAGGCCCTGACTCCAAGGCTGCTGTACCTCTGAGAGCTTTCTCCTGCTTCATTCCAGGGAGTGCACTATAATGAAGAATGGAAAATGGCTTAGAGAAATCCTGGTTCCTAATATCGCATTGGACTAATTAAGTGAATGGAGAACCTTTTCTTGCCTGAGAAGGAAAGTAGTGGAAAACACCAGCTTGTGTCCACCTTCTTTGAACAAGTAAACATATGCCTACTCATCGCTTCATATAAACAGTCTCTACCACAGCATTTGCCAGGGGAACGATTACTGGACTTAAGACTAAAAACCACTTTATGTTTATACCAGTTTGTTGTCATAGCACAATATTTGGCTGAATTAATTTCCATTTTCATCTTTCCAGACTGTATTTTTCTCAATAAAAGTCCTTTGCCTTTTGTGCAGGATGGATGATTGAAACAATCTTAGTATGACCTTCATCAAAAAAACCTCCTCAAACTTCTTATTCTTGTGAATGCTATTCTCAAGTCTTCATAGTTTTATATGTGCATCTTTAGCTGTATCCTGTAAAAAAAAAAAAAAAAAAAAAAAAAAAAAAAAAAAAAAAAAGCTTTTGCATTAGTGGAAATGTCCCTGTCCTTCAGAGCGGGACAGAACTTCTGACAGACCCAGAAATCTTATGTACAGAGCTCTCTCTTCTTACAGGAAGTAAGAATTGCCTGTGTTGCATTGCCAGACTGTAGCTGACTCATTTGATCTCAGCCACACAAACCTCATATTCTCTCTGGCTTCATGTTTTCAGGAGCCCATGTTTCTGTCAGCCAGATAAATATCCAATGCTATCTACAACCCAGCAGCAGAACACACCTATTCTTAGGCGAGATGCTCTCATTGGTGTGTCAGCAAGCTTTTCAACTTCATGTGGATCCTGATCCTAACAGCAGCAAGTGCTGTGGACTTAATTGCTGGATAATGAACCACTCAGCTGCTCTTTTCTCCCTCTGTGGTCAGAAGAGAAAGAACTCAGGAGAGGAGATACTAGCCACACTGCCAAGATTCAGAGCTGGTCCAGCATGGCAAGCAAGAAAGAACCATCTGCTAGACTAGAAAAGACAAACAGCAGGCTTTCAGTATGCTCCTAGTTAGAAGGGCTGGGGGAAACAGGTCCTCAGTGGTTATAGTCTTAGGGTCAGAGTGTTGCTCAAGTTGAGCACCAGTCAGCTGGCAAAGTCAATGGCATTTCAGGGATCCCCTCTGAACTCTGCAGCTTGCTGCCAGTGCTGCCCAAATACAACAGTGATCTCTCCAGAGCAGTGATAACAGAAGTATTCTGATTACATGTCCTGTGATCTGTTTGTCAGTCCAGAGAACAGTTTTCTAGAGCCTCACTGGAGGTACTGGAATAGTTAGAAGCCCACAGGTCTGCAGCTGTTGTGTGTTCTGTACTTGTGTATACCTGGCATTTGATTTTCTTTTCCCCTTCCAGAAACTTTTCTTGTGGAATGTTGTGAGCTTCAGAAGCAAACTTGGTGGTTTAATTTCTACATAGGGAATAAACACTGTCGGACTGGTTCCATAGGTCTGAGCCCAACAAATTTCATTTTGGCCTCTTCAGCTGAACATGTCTTTGACATATATTGCTTGTTAGAGGAAGCTTAAAACTGATTTATGACAAATATATATGAAATTTTTTTCTTGGTTGTAGTACTTGTCTTGCCAGGATAGTAAAGGAAATTTTATACTTTTCTTCATAGGTATCATTACAAAATACTATGGATTTTCAGTTTTCAAAGCACTTTAGGTTTGGGTTTTCAAAGGACATAATGGACTCTCCATCTGCTGGATTTCATTGTAGCTTGCCCATTTAACTTTTTAGGATTGCAAATACCAACTTTCTCACTGATTTCCCAAAATAGATAAGTAGATATAAAAAAAAAAAAAAAATCCTTTTGACTCTGTGAACTTTCCAATTTGCTTCTTTTGGGTACTATATCAGAAAACCTTAAGCATTTAGCTCAGTCTCAAGGGCTGGAGTAAATCTCATTCTCCAAAGTGGTGCAAACAAAAACTCAACTCATTTGCTTAAGGAACTGCCATTTCTGAGTGTCTCCTTGTAGAGATGCAGTACTTGATATCCCTTATTGCTGAGTTGCCAGCACAATGCAGCCAGGAGGAGTGGGGATGAAAAGGACCTGGCATCTACTTGATGTATGTTTTGGAAGGCTTTATTTTGGAAAACCTTGTGGCGATTCTCCATATAGCTTCTGGAAATTTTGGTTCCTGTTTCTTCTGGAAGCAATATAGTTCACATGCTCTGAGGCCTCTTGGTGATGCAAAGCTGTACAAATGGTGACTATCAAAAAGAGCATTTGAAAGAACAGACTTCATCCAAGGGAGCGTTGGTGTGGTACTGGATATGATGGGTTTTAATCCCTTACCTGTGGCAAAACTACACTGATGTCAACCTTGTCTGGCTTTTCATGAGGGAAATTAAGAAAACCTGAAGCCAAAACTTTTTATTTGGTTTAGGTGATCCAGCAGACTTGTATTTTTTTAAGCTGCATTTTCACCAATTTTTGAAGCTACAAGGTGCAGTTTCTCTCATTTGTGCTTTTAGAGCAATTAACATCTTCACTCAAGGCAGAATGGGATGTATCTAACAATACAATCATGCATGACACACAGGAATGTAATTTATATGTACATTTAATAAAATTTGCTAAATTTATCTTCTGTTTCATGTACTTACTAATTTCCTGCATCACAGTAAGCAACTCAACTGTCAGTTGGAGACTCCTTTGTTTTAGAACATTACACTGATTCTATATGTTGGATTTACGTGCTGGCTTTTATAATCTGGTTTTTGTGATTGTTAGAAGCTGTTAGATGAGCAAAATGTCATCTAGACTAGGACAGAATTTACCCACCTGGCCAGTGGTTACCCAAATTTATGCAGGTAAACAGGTCCTGTGTCATCCACTAGAGGGTGAATCGTATTGTACAAGAGCCTTATGACCTTGGCACCTGGTGGTGCTCCGCTTCAACTCACTAGAGAGGAGCTGGATGACAAGGCACTGTGTTCTTGCTGTCGTGAAGATGCACAGATGTTACACAGCTTGCAAAATCTGGGGAGGCTGCAGCTGCTTAAAGCTGAAGCCTTCAAGCACAGGCATCTGCAGCACGACGTGTCAGGCTTTTCCCATCAAAAAGCTTGGTATCCCTCTCTCCCCTCTAAGTGTGTTAAATGCAGTAGGCTGTGGCTGTGAGAGCAAGGGCTGAGCAGGTTTTGTCTGCTTATCTGCAGCAATAAAGCCAGAGCTTTGTCCTGTGGAAGAGTAGAGTGGGAAGGCACATGGTCAGGTATTTTTGGCATTTTGGGTCAGTTTTCTGAGCTTGTCAGCCTTTTTGCAAACAAGATAGCAGAGCAACAGTAATTTTGAGAGTTTGACAGGATAATGATAGCAAGATTTTCAGTGGTAAGCTTTGGTCTCCCATAGTGACATCTCCCTGATGATTCTTGTAGATTGAAGGCACTGATAGATATCTTCTTGTCCGTTTCCTGTCATAATGGGAAACTTGGTACAAATTGTACTGTAATCTGAGCTGGAAAGGGGCTACATGCTGGAGTTCATCAATCCCAGTCTATAACAGCTAACAGCCAGCAGGATGAACTTGGAATTTGAGGTTATTTAAGAGGATAAAAAAAAGAGTTTTAAAGCAACAGCCTTATTGCAGTATTACAGAACATGCCATGTTTGCTATAGATGGGAAGGGGGCCATTTGCTTGAGAGTAACCCTCTTGTCACATTTTACTGGGTTCAGTGCAAGAAAGGGAGTGTTAGAGACAGACTTCTTAAAGGACATAATTAAAAAAAAAAATTATGGCTTAGAAAACAGTTTTGTGCTGATTTTCTGACAGAGCCTGTGTTGTGTATGTAACACATAAAGCATTTATGAGCATTGACTTAACTGTGGCCATGGTAACTGTGCCATGACCCAAAGATATGCTCAGCTGGTGTGGTTGTATTTGGCTATGTGGGTGGAGTTTCTGTCAAAGGGTTTGAAGTGAAGAACTGAAGAGAAGACTAATTCTTATGATCTTTTGTATGTGTGGCTAAACAGCATCCTTCTATAAAACAAAGTTGTCAGTATTTCAGATGGCTGGTGTCTGATCTATTACTGCTGCAAAGAAAACTTTTCAAAACTCATCTGGTTAGAATACTTTAGAAACAAAAAGAATAAATGGCAGTTAATCTTCTTTATCTTTAATTTTATTTCTAATTAAACCCTTTCTTAAATCACACTTCCTTTGAAGAACATTTTGTTTGCCGTTCATTGTTTGTGGCTTTTTCTCAGGTGCAAAAAAATTGTTTTGATTAAGAAAAAGAAAAAGCTTTGAGGAACTTGTCACCCAAAAAATGCAACTCTTTCTTTTATATAAACATGCATAGGTCTGAGAAATACATGGCATATCTCCAATTCACTTGATTAGCTAATGAATTCCTTCCTCCCTGTAGTAAACCAGAGTTGTGCTTTCTATGTGATGTTTGTCCCTTCTGTGTCTGTGCTTTCTACCTTCCAGTTGTGCCACCTGGCTGTCTCTTACTTGAGGAAGGACTTGCCATCAGCCTGGTATCCAGAGCCTGTTTTAATCACAGATTGCTCTTTTCAAATCAGTACAAACAAGGAGCAATTGTCACACATCTCTGACCTTCACCAGGCTCTTGGGATCAGCTGCAGCCTTTGGAGCTGTGACTCAGACAGTCTGGCTCTGTTCTCCAGGCCAGCAGATGACCTGCATACCAAAGGGGGCTGTTGATAGCAACATTCCTTCTCCAGTGGACAGACCAGATGGAGGGACTGTGCTAGGAAATTATGTCTCCTATGCTAGAGCATGATGAAAATGTAAGAAAAAACTTATTTGCTGTGAAGGGTATTGGAACTTTGAACCAGATTGTCAGGAGAAGTTACGGAGTCTCCATCCTTGGAGATACTCAAAACACAATTGGACATGATCCTCAGCACCTTCA